TCTAGGTTGGTAATAATCCAGAAAGTCATAAAGTTTAGGCCAATAAGTTGTTGGTGAAGCCCCTTTGTTACAAACCCTAGCCCTAGAATGTTCTAAGCCTATAACTCCTTGGTTACACGTAAAGTTTGCCACTTTATGTGGGGGTTAGGCTCTAGAGGAATGGATCTATGGATTTGGGCCCCTGCATGGCTCGAAAAGCCACTGTATGGATTAAGAACTAGAGAGACTCGGCGAGTCACATGGGTGTACTCGGCGAGTTGTATGAACATGAGCATGGACTCGGTGAGTTGGAAAAGCAACTCGGCGAGTCTGTTGAAGATTGCCTAAGACTCGGCGAGTCTATTCTTGGACTCGGTGAGTCAGGTTGCGAAACCCTAAACCCTTCTAGTTAAGACTCGGATTAGTGAGTTGAGTGGAGACTTAGTGAGTTGAGCAAGATGGGACTCGGAGATCGTTAGACTCGGCGAGTTAAGTCGCGTTCTAAGAATTTTCAGAGAGCAAGGACTCAACGAGTCAATGAGCTGACTCGGAGAGTAGAGTCAGTTTGGAGGGTTGACTTTGACCAGGACTTTGACTTTGACCAAAGTTGACTTAGTTGGATTGTTGAAGGGTTGTTTCGGACTAAGTATTATATTTGGTATTAGTAGATCGGAGAGTTTTTGGAGCAGCAGTTCGAGAGTTGTCTGATAGCAGTCAGAAGGGTATCAGCAAGAACTTCAGCGGTGCAGGTGAGTTACCTTCCAGTAGTGGTGGGTCTACGGCCACAATGTCAGCCCACCAGTAGGAGTTGTGTGTTAGATGATTGTCTTTGTGATATCATCTAGTTTTGCTACTACCTGATAGGTTATATGCTAGCTTGATGTGTTATAGTAGCAAAGTTCGGTTGTTAGGACCGAAGGGTAGTCAAACACCCCAGATACGTCTGACAGTATGTGATGTCAAGATTATATGCTAACATGATATGAGATATGTGTTAGGGGTAATAGGAGGGGAGCAGTCCCCGAGTTCGGTTGTTAGGACCGAAGGGTAGTCAGACACCCCAGATATGTCTGATAGTATGTTATGTTATGATATGTGATAGTAGTAGTGGTAGGGGTGAAACAGTCCCCGAGGTTCAGTTGTTAGGACCGAAGGGTGGTCAGCACCCCAAAATGGCCGCACGGGTAGGACGGCACCCCAGAATGGCCGCATGGTTTCAGTATGTGGTATGTTAGGGGAGCTCACTAAGCTTCATGCTTACGGTTTCAGTTTTTGGTTTCAGGTACTTAGTTTTCAAAAGAGGAGCTCGGAGAGATTGCGGTGCACACACACCATAGTCAGTTAGCCTGGGAATGTTTTACTCTGATAATAAAATTATGTTTCGAATTAATACTCGGAAATTATGTTATGACTTATGATACGGTTTTTATAAATAAGGTTTTAGTAATGTTTTAAAAGGAAATTTTTAGCAGTGATTTTTGGGTCGTTACAACCTATGACCAGAAGTGAAGGGTTTCTTAAGAGTCATATAGATCTTTAAAAGGCTTAAGGAGCATGATATGCCAAACCTTTAGTTTAGAGATAACCAAAATAAGAACATGATAATACAATTTCAACACATGAAGGCCTCAGTTGTTTTATAGTATCCATTAGGAGCTCAAGAAATGTATATATTTATAATGAATAATATGACTGAATTAAGGTTTTTCTAAATGAGTTAATAGTATCAAATAGCCATAATAGAGCTTGATTATGAGAAATGGCTCGAGGCAATGAATTACAAGATATATTGAATGTCATGTTTAGGAAATGGTTGGTGTACCAAAATATAGTAAGACTATCATATTAGATAGTAGGAAACATCAGGCGCAAATCAGTGTTAAAGATTAATACTTTCATTTATGGGAAGATACAAATATATAAAGAAACACTAGTCAAAACATATATTCAGATGTGTTTCTCAATGGAAGATCTAAGAGAAGCAACCTTTTAGTTTTGGAGTCAATCTTTATAGAGACTAATGTAATTGATAGGATTTGTTTAGAGTACATATTTCAATAAAGTTTTGAAAAGGTTTCAAACTGAAAACTTCAAGTGAAGAAGAATTAGTGCAATGATTGCTACATATGTGCATTGTTCCATATCGTTTAAATGTTGGACGTATCATGGTATATATTGACCTGATGTTTCATATTATCTGAGCATAAAAAAGTATATACCGCGTAAATCAAACAAAAATCCCTAAATGGCAATGAAAAATGATATGAAGTACTTGAGAAATAACTAAGGGCATATTCCATGCATATAGACATGTTGGCAAGGAGGCCAAATATAAAGGATTACTCAGTTGTGAGTTTTCAAATTAATTGAGATTATTTAAAAGTCTCAATAAAGCTTTATATTTTTGTGTTATAATATGAAAATGTATAAATTAAAACACATGTTGTTGTAAGATAAGTAGAGCATATACTAACATGTGATGTAGTAAAGGAAGTTGTTTTAACTATATCATCATTACTAAGCATATATTTATTGCTAATACCTCCATTCTAATTACATATTGTGACACTAATAAGATAATTTCCTAGAAAAAGGAAACCATGTCATGTTTGAAATCCAAACATTTATTCTAAAAATATATCTCATGCATTAGATATTCATGATTAGATATTGATAAATACGATGTTACGAAATGCAAAGATCACACTAAATACAATGATCGTATGCCTAACCCTTCTTAGGTTGTATATGAGCATCCTTTAAAAAATATAGGGATGAGATTATTTGCCAAGTGGAATAGCTATGTGAAATTGAATTAAATGTGACATTAAATATGTTTTGATTTAAGAATACATGCAAGTTTATATTTGTTTGTGTGTTAAAGTGTCCAAACACTATAAATATTATTCTAAAACTGTCAATAGTCGTTCATTTTCATCGGAAGTGAAATAAAGTAAGGCTATTATGAAATATTGGTTTTTATTTGTTAGTTAAATATAGGTAATATTGGTTTTTATTTGTTAGTTAAATATAGGTAAAGGGTTGTATAAAATTCACACGCATGTGATAAGAAGAAAATATTGGATAAAATCATTAAAAACATTTCGTGAATTGGCATCACAAGTGATCTTCAACAAATTGAATTATGTTTTTTGCTAATACATATTGTCCCACCTTCAGAAGAGATATATGTAGGGACATTGATGATTGAACTTAGTAAACGCATAGTCACACTTAAGTGTATTTTTGTGCTTGATGGCACTTATTGGGAGCTAGTAGTTGATCATTCAATCCAGATAAGGAAAAAATCTGTAAGTATTAAAAGGGTGATCGAGTATGTGACTTGTACTCAGTAGGTAGACATCTCGATACAAAAGTAAACATAATATACGAAGTTGTCATCATACTGAAAATGTTGAGATATGAAAAGCATTGTATGATGACCAGGGGCGTCGTGTTGATTTTGAAGACTTTGTGTGAAAAATACAAATGGACCAATATGTATATACAATTATACATGTATCTAAAAAAATATTATAGGCCCCTTAGGGCTTGTGTAGTTGTCGGTAGCCCACCTAGGTCATGCTAACTCAGGATGATGACACATCCTTTATAGGCAGGGATGACAACGGGGCCAAACAGGGCAAAGATAGCCACCCTCGTCCCCGAATTTTCCAATTCCCCAAACCCCAAATTCACCTATTTCCTTGCCCCCAAATTTCAAGACCACCCAATCCCATCCACGCCCCCCCCGTTATGCCTGAAATCTCCTGTTTAACCTTATTTGGTGTATTTTTAACTCATTTATTTCGTTTTTCCTTACATGCTACACTACTTATTCAAATACAAAACATATATTACACAATGTGTTAGAGATACACGATGTTTTGATTGCTTGGATCCCACTGAAAGTCGTGATACACTTTCAAATTCCCCTTAGACCCCGCTACCAAGGGCGCTACCCCGAACTCTCGTGGTTTAGGGGTTTCGCCCCTAAATAAGAGTATACTTTAAATCAAGACAAAGTCAACAAGTGTGCACTCCGCACCACCCTTACTTATTCATTGTTTGTCAATATCACATCGGTCAACAAGTTCATCCTATTGCACTTAAATGATATTTGTGACACTAATCACCAACACACTGACTACTTTAAGTTCAATATTTATTTATATAAAAAATACCTCGATATAAGGCAATTATTTTAGGGCATCCACAATGTATTTGGGACAGAACCCTCTCCCCCGAAACCAAAAACATTATAACAATACCCCATGTATAGAAGCGAACTCCTATGGGGTTGGGCTCCTACAAGGATTATTTTTGACATTTCTGCTCATATGAGTAACTGAAAATAGTTTTTTTTAACGTTTATAAGATAAAAACCATTTCTACCACTTTTCTAATTTCAAGTATAAAATGTTTTCCAAAATATATGTAAATATCATCAATATCAAAGACAAAACAACAAGTATTGTCTAACTATTTCCAAGGCTATACAACTATTATCCTTTCATTCTTGTCTTATAACTCACTTCTCACGATCATACCATCCACACATATTGTATATTCGCTTCCATATTCAACATAAATATTTGCATAAAATTTATATATCTTGAATGTTATATGGAATCAATTTAGGTAGATAATCCATAATCCAAAGTACTTCTTTTTGCAAATAATCACTAATAATGTTCTTTAATAATAACAAAATAATCGGTAAAATTTTCACAAAGTTTCTATGCATGCATTGTATATTATTGATTATATTATTTTTGTCTACAATTTTTGTAAATATATTATCCTTCAAAATAATTAATATATAATTTAATTAACATCAAATATTTTTCTTAAACTTTTTCTTTAGTCAACATTACATTTATTATAGAATATATATAATAAATCTCAATATTTAACTATGTAATTACAAAAATGTTCCCACCAAACTCAATTTATTACTTAGCCATTAGAGATTATAAAAATGTAACATGAGAAGGAAAAAGCAACATCTCAAACAGATAATGCCTAAGAAGATGAAAAATGCATACGAGATGACTCTTAATGATGACAACACTTTGAGTCCAATAATGAAATCACAACCAGTCATGTTTTCGGGTCAAACTAGCAATGTTGGTGCAACGCGCACAAGTGTTAGGAGCAGCAGTGCTGCTCTTGATGCAGCCATCGAACATGAAATACGGATGGGTACATTAGACCCCAACATGGACAAGAAAGCCATGAGAAGGTAAATAAGAATATCGTAATCAATCGTTATATCTTAATTAATTACAGTAAACTAACTATGTGAAATTTAAATTGTATCTAATGTCATTATTTCAATGTCATGATCTACGTAGGATCATCTCAAATCGTTATGCTGCAAAGAAGTCTCATGACAAAATGATAAACAAAATGCATGAATTAGAGAAAAATCGAAAAGACTTGGAGGTATGCATCTTGTTGAGTTATTCATTTTATATATATATATCATTATGTATTTTTTCATCTTATACAGGTTTGATAAATTCCAACCATTTATTTTCTTTTGAATTTTGTACATTTTGATATATACATTTAATACATTCATTTTTAAACCATTATTACTTTTAGATAGTAGAATTCTATTATTTATTCATTAGTTGATTTATTTAAATATGTTTAAAATAAAATCTAATATAATTTATAGAAATTTATTTAATTAAAAACTAATATTCAAAACTTTCAAAATGAATATATAACGTGTTGGTCATATTGTTGCTTTACACCTATTTTTCGAGGCGTTTAGGATTCATCTAAAAACAACTTATTGACTTATTAAGTTTTTGAAAAGTCAATAAATTAAAAAAAATATAGTTTGTAATATGAAAATGATTTTTAAAATAATTTCATATCAACCCTTTAAAAATGATACGTGATTTCAATAAGTTGAGATTTGTAACTTTTCAAAACTCATTATAATATTTTGGTCTCTAAAAGACAAATATATATATATATATATATATATATATATATATATATATATATATATATATATATATTAAAAAAACTCTTTCTCACCACTATAAACCAATAAATCATTTGATTTAAAAATCTGTCCTAAAGTTCAAACTAAAATCTCAAACACATTTTTCAAATATATGTGTTGTAATATTTATATTTATTTAATCTTTAATTTCAATTAATGTTATTTCGGAAATATTAGACATATTTAGAAATACCAAATTACATGAAGGTGATTTTAAAAGATATATGTTTAAGGTAGATAATAAATAAATTATTTTTAATTTCTAAAAAAAAAAAAAAACTTTTGCAGAAGTTAACTATTTGAAAAATGGTTTTTAACAAGACTTTGCTAAATAAATATTAGCGAAAAGCTATATGAGAAAGTTAAGCTGTCTTTGAAAAATTAACCACAAAGACTTGTATATATTAAATGAGGTATATATCCTTACTAATTAATTACTTTCAAAACTATGGTTTACTAATTACTACCGTTACAGAACACTATAGCTACCCTCCAACCTCAGATTGAACATGAAAGTCAACTTCTATCCCATTTGAGGATTGAGAACCAACTGTTGGCCCAGCAATTGCATTTTCATATTGATTTAAACCATAAGAAAGAAGGTATTCAATTCCTATCATTTAGATATATTTATTTATCACAACGTAATTTTTGTAATACGTCGACATTATTATTAAGCTCCTTTGTTTATGTAATTAATTAGCCCAAATTGCTGAGAAAACAATGGAGAGACAATGGTTGAGGGGATTACTCAACATGCAAGTGCAGCAACAACCTGGCAATGGAGGAACTGATGTGTTTGACCTTCAGGATTTTGACCCTAATAATTTCCCATATGTTTCCAAATCTCAACCATATTAGAGTTAGCTATTTTGGGTCCTATCCAAATATATTTGATATTAATGTGTCTATTGGATTTAAGAACTTATTTTTATTACTATCTATATTATTAGAATTACCATATATTAATTTTATAATTGATGTCCTGCACAATTTAAGAGTGAAATGCAGTTTCTGATCAAAATCAAATCAAAAACTGAAAATTTCGGTTTTTATATTTATAAAACCGAAAACCAAACCAAAGTACCAAACCAATCGATTTCAGTTTTCAGTTGTAACTAATCCACCGGACAAAAGTAGTGATTTCGTTAAATGCTTTCGAAGGTGTTTTGATGGTTTATTTGTTTATCCTATCCATTAATTAATTACCAAGTGAACCATCGAACTTTAAATTGTTACAAATAGAGATTTACATGTGTACATGAATCGCAGCTCTTAACCAAGAAAATTTTAAACTTAATTTGTAATCTTAACTTTAAATTTTTAAAATTATAATGGGGAATTTTTCAAATTTTGAAAAACAACATAGTGGTCATTGTTACAAAACCTCACAAATTTAATTATGTGTTGAAATACTGATATAAAAAAATTTCTATGTTTACTAATGAGATTTGTGTTATTATTATTTAGTTAATCTTTTTGTAAGTAAATATTATCACTGAATACGATTTAAAACATGATGAAAAGTATAATCATTTTTCAACAATATTCTACTTATTCATAAATACATACAATAAGTTGGTCTAAAAGTGTAAGAATTATTCATTAATAACTTAGTATTGCATTAACTATCGGTACCATTTTAATAGAAATTTTATTAATTCATCATAAATATAAGATTAAATTACATAAATGGCCCTTATGGTTTTCCATATTCACATGTTTCACCCATTACTTTTTCTTGTTGATGAAGACGGTTGGTGCAATTTCAATTTCTTGTGTGGTTGGTCGTTTGACCCATGTAAATGACTCTTATATACATTATAATATATTTTATATTGTTGATTTAAATAAAATAAAATAACATCACACCCACTTCCCTCCCATTCTACCTCGTTGACGACTCATTCCTTTACCTGTAATACACTGCGTTACCTTTTCCTCTATTCCCATCAGCCACAATTAACATCAACATCCCAACTCTGTTTTCTAACACCATTAATTAGAATTTTCATGAAACTTAATAAGTATTCCAACTTTTACATCACACTATTCGATTACAAAAGTGAATTTGAAACTGACTACGATATTTATATTCTTAACATGTAAACGTTTTGACAACATTTACATTAAATTTTCCGCCAAACCGATCACATTGAAAGACATTTGAAAAAGATTTTCAGTAAATTAAAAGATTTCCCAGGTCAACACAAATTACATATGTTTTTTCATTATTTTTACAATTAATCTATGATCCATAATTAAAGTACCATAAAAGCTTTGACTTTCTAAGTCATCTGACACATAAACACACACATACATAAATAAAATAAAGATGAATATTTAGATGTAGTTATTAGTGATTGTGTTGATTAACTTAGAAACAAGATCAGCACAACTTACATATGTTTTTTCATTGTTTTTAAAATTAATTTTTGCTAATTATTTTTGACCAAGTTCATCCATATTTAAAGTACTATAAAAGCTTTGACTTTCTAAGTCCATCTAACAAATAAATACACACATACATAAATAAAGATGAATATTTAGAGGTGATTGTGTTGATTAACTTAGAAACAAGATCTGAGCATCATTAGTGTAGAAGATGAGCATATTGCCTCCGTTATTATCATTGCTTTTATTGTCAACGAAGGAAGATATGGTGGCACCACGAAGCGATACAGACCAATAAACGCGTCAGTTGAGCTACGAGGTATGAAGAGAAAGAGATGGAAAAATTGGCAAGACGAAGGCGTCAAGTCTGACGGATTCCGCCATTAACACCGACTGTGACGAATAGCTAAGATAGAAGATGAGTGTAGGTGTATGGAGTGACGAATAGTTAAGTTGTGTTCTAGAGCTTAAAGATTTACGAAAACTTAAGAACTCCTAAACCGTTCATTATTTTTCAAAATCAAGACCATCATTAGTCTTCAAAAACAGCAACTAAGTCATATCTAAGCTAAAAAAATAAAAAAATAAATATAAAAAAATTTGACGATTTTTTTTAAATGTGCATATATATATATATATATATATATATATATATATATATATATATATATATATATATATATATATATATATAAAATGCATATTTGTGTTTTTTTCAATATTTTTTAAAATAAACAAAACAAGAGACTCTAATAAAAACATTTAAGAGAATTACAACTTGAAAACGTCAAAATAACATAGAAACCGAAAATATGCATGCATGCATGCATGTTTAGCTGTGCACATATGCATAGTTCTAAAAAAAATTGTCAAATCTTTTTTTGGAACATGGGTCTGTTGTAGTTGCTAGTATTTGAGTCTAAAAGTGTTTTTAATTTTGAATAATGATGTAGTGATTAGAAGTTCTTACGTTCTCGTAAATCTTTAAGTTCTAAAAAAATTATCTCTCTCTCTCTCTCTCTCTCTCTCTCTATATATATATATATATATATATATATATATATATATATATATATATATATATATATATATATATATATATATGGGAAAGTGATATACCCTACAAGTTATATAAATTTAAGTACACAAATTCACCATACTAAGTTGTTTTTGTATCATAAATGCATTGTAATCGTTGAAAGTTCATAAAATTCAATTCTTAACTTGATTTACTTCCAAGATTTTTCGAAATTTCACCATTACCTTTCTTTTACATAGACACCTACTAGCCATATATATTATAGTTGTAAATGAAACTATATGTAACAGGAAGACAATGATGAAATTTCTAAAAATCTTAGAAGTAACAAAGTATACATAAATAATATATATATATATATATATATATATATATATATATATATATATATATATATATATATATCGGTAAAGTGAATATACCTAACAACCTTATATAAGCTTAGGTACCTAACTCCATAATACTACATCGATATGTATCATATTTACATTGTAATTGCATAAGGTTCTTAAACTTCAACCCCATAACTTGATTACTTCCAAAATGTTTGGATTTTCAACAATATCTTTCTTTTACACAACGTCTTTCTATCGAGTACCACCTGATGGGCTTCATATCCTACTGCTACAAATGAAAGAATGTAGGAGAAATATAATGATGAATTTCCAAAATTTTTTGAAGTAAATCAAGTTTAGGGATGAACTTTAAGGACCTTGGATGATTGCAATGAAAATTTAATGTAAAATGACGTAGTTTGATGAAGTTAGGTACCTAAGCTTATATAAGGTTGTTAGGTATATTCACTTTACCCTATATATATATATATATATATATATATATATATATATATATATATATATATATATATATAGTCATATCTGGATTTTTAAGATGTATAATGCATAAATAATTCATTAATAATTATCAAAAGTTTAAAGACTTGAATTAAGAAAAGTAATTAAAAAATCCAATTTGTAGCAAAATGAGAATTTTAAAATATTAAATTCATATATATAAATTAATTTGTATTTCTTAAACTACAGATAAATATTAATTAATTTACATCAATAGAATAAATAGGCAATATAAATATAAGATATAAATATAAATATTTTATATTAAAATTGTAATTTTTTATTACATAATAATTAATAATTATTTACTCGTAAGAAATTATTTGTCAAAACAGATATTTATCGTTGCTGCTTTGTGTGTGTGTGTGTGTGTGTGTGTGTGTATATATATATATATATATATATCTAAGAAAAACATTAAAAAAATTAAAAAATGAATAAAAGATATTTTACATAATCAGTGACCAAGCACGCATCTGCAAGGCCGGTCCAGAGGATTCAAATGTCCGGGACAAACCAGAAAAAAAAAATCCCTTAGGCGTTAACGTGTAACGAATTAAATTATAAACTAATTTTTTTTAAAAACGAAGATAAAGTTTATACAAGTAACATAATTGCTGTTTTTAATAATATATTTTAGAATCATTATTCATTCATTCAAAATTCTATAATCTGATTGAATCAGATTTAATAATTGCTGTTTTTAATAATATATTTTAGAATCATTATTCATTCATTCAAAATTCTATAATCTGATTGAATCATATTTCAGAATAACATTTTGTTTCAGATTTTCAGTCCTTAACTAACACAGACCATACATTAACTTTGATTTTGAGTCATTATTCATTCATAACATTATGATTTAAGATTTCTAGTGATCACTTATCAAAATAACATTATTCATTCATTAACCTTTATTTTAGACTAACAAGGATAAAGTATTTAACTGATTTCAGTGAATTTGATAAACTAATAATCTCTTATTCTATTCATCAGGTATTAGTTGACATTTATTCCATTTATTTGATTCTTCTTATAATCGAATTAGAGCACAGATCCATTGAGCCACTAACTGAAGATTACAATTTAACAAATCAAATATGGATTCCATTTGTGAGTCAAAATTGACTTGAACTTCTTTGATACAAATTGACATAATTTTGAGATAATCGAATTAGAGCATTACTTGATTAGGAGTGGAGTACCCTCAATTGGCCCTTGTTGTGTCAGTGAGTCGTCCCTGAGTTGCTGTCGTTGATGCCTAATCATTTTTTTAACGTGATCGTTAAAACCTTCTACTGACTGTTGTGATGATGCTTGCTTGTTGTGCCTTCACCCGTATGTGATTCTCGACTGCTTTACATTTGGATCAAACTAAAATTGAATATACTCTTAAAAAATGGGTCCCTAAAAACTAGGGCCCTGTTTCAATGCCCACTTTGCCCTTGCCCTAAACCGGGCCTGACCATCTGCATCAACAATAAAAATAAAATAAAATAAAAAAGTCGGAGATGAAATACGTAAATCTGAAAAACCACGTGGATTATTTATGTGGTTAGGGGAAAAAAAGT